AGACATTGAACCCGTATAAAAATGATTAAACTTATATTATAATTTAAAAACACAAACTTATTAATATAATATGAAAAAACAAGATACACAGTAACTTTTAGTAGGCATCTGGAAAGAAAACTTAGACAATTTACTTAAATTTAATTTTCAATCTGTATGTTTTTGTAATATGTATTACATGTAAACATATCTCTATCGTTTCAGATTGTTTAAAATTGGTTACAGCCTCAAGGCTCATCTAACTTAAGATAAATACAACTTAAACAAACATAAAATCTCATTTGTTTTTCTAGTATTTTTGTGAATACAAAACAGAACGGAAACGGGCAGTGATCTACGTTCGAACTTTAAAAACATCATTTCCGTAATAGAGTACGTGCGTGTTTTACCATTTCCTAGAGAAAAATTCAATGTTATGCTATTGGAAATTAAGCTTTTAATATTATTGTTGTCAATAACATTTTGCATAACACCATCCACACCTTTAAAATATGATTATTTTCATAATTTCAAATCCTTATTTACTCTCTATATAATTACAAAAAAATGCCAATGTGAAAGCTAGGCAATTCAACTATAAAATTAGACTTTTTTTTCTTTATATTTCAACAATAAGCCTGGCAATAGCTTGTAATATTGTTTTTTGGGAGTAATTTTTACATATCTTAATGCTACTTGTCCACTTCAGTTCCTAAAATCAATTTATTAAAATAAATTAACTATGCAAATAAACTTATTTATATTAAATAAATCGCCACCTGTTTTTAAAGTGATATTCTAGGGAAGCATAAAAATAAAACAAGTCTGTGTATTAAAAAAATCTATTAGTAATTTTAATGTTGGTATAAATCGATTCGTCCTGAGTGATATAGAATTACATTATATCTTAGTCTATTGTAAAGCGAAAATTAATATCCAAAACTGTATTTTTCTCTTTATATTTGTAGAAATTGATATTTCTTAATATCGAAACATTGTCAGGGTCAGTACAACCTTGTTAGTACGATTTCTCAAAGGAAATCACGAATTCTGTTTTTTACAATTGTAACGGAATTAAATAAAAAATGTAGTTTAATTAAGAAGCATCAACTTTAACAGTACCTGCCTGGAGTGCAAGAGGTCCTGGGTTCGAAGCCTGGGGAAGCAATAAATTGTTTCTCTCGGGCAGGACATAGATGGCTCAACAACTCGCTAAACTTGTGAATAAAACTGAACAGTGAAACAAATACAGTAATGTATTTGCCCAATACCACGGGGTATCACTGTATCTTTTCAAATTAAAAAAACGGACACCATAGCTTAGTTAATTAGAAAAACAACACGGAACGACATGTATGACCGTTCAAGTCGTGCACGTGACGTATTTTTTTTTCAATCTAAAATGATTTTCAATTTATATAATATCACGTGCAAAATATTTCAGTTAAATAATTAAAATAATTGATTAATTCTTTGAGTTAAAATGCAAACAAGTTTAAAACCACATTATTAATTTATATCACACTCCACATTGCACATTATGTATGCGGTACAACTTTTATTACATAATAATACCATAAACAGATGCTATTATGCGATTATATTATATTCTACATTTACTGATGTATCAAAGATAAATGCCCTTCTTGTACAAGGAGGTCAGCCTTCATTTTACCTTTTAGTGAGGACCCTAAGCCTTTTACGGATTCACAAATCCTTTACTTTATTGCTATAGAGATTTTGTTTACATTTATCGTATTTATAGGAAAATGTTTCAAGTACCTTCATGAGGACATAATAATCTCAGGATAACGCATGTTGTTTATACCTTTTCCGGTATTTATGCCATGTTTCTTACCACAAGACAGATGGATATTTTGGCCCAGTAAACGCCAACGCCAGACCAATATAAAAATACCTTACAAATTTGGTAAATAAGCTTCAACAGGCGCGTTGGTTTAATGGTAGCAATGTACGGCTAAACGACGGGTCGTGGCTTTAATTCCCATCGGGTAAATATATTTCTGATTTATACCGGAACAAGATAAAGTAGTCATTAAATTTTATACTGTCTGTAGTTTACGCGAGTAGTACACATCTAAATAAAACACTTTAATGGTTTAAAACGCGATATCTATTAGTTAATTTTATATCACACGGGGAGACAGTCTCCCCGTGACCACGGCTGCTGCAAAGCATCCGAAACGTCGGCTCGAACTTAAAAATCATTTTCAAATAAGGTTAACTAATATATAGCGTTTTAAACCGTTAAAGCGTTTTATTTAAATGTGTACTACTCGCGTAAACTATAGACAGCTTTTAATTTTATAAAATTATTTTAACTACGGCCCCGCGTTATGGATGCTTTGCGTGACCACGGTTCAACTAATAAATATCGCGTTTTAAACCGTTAAACTGTTATATTTAAATGAAGTAGTTATTATTCTGTTAGCAGAATCTATTGAATGAATGAATGATACCGTATTGTTATTACTCTGGTTAATTTGAATTTATTTCTCTACACGTTACACGATAAACATTACATTAATAACTTCCGCTTGTAAAGTTACAGAAACGTTTCCTTATTTCAGGGGAAAAACAGTGTTAGTTCATACACAACGGTTTAAAGAGATCGCAAAAAATTTTAATTAGCAAATACATTTACAAACTTATTTTTTCGCGACGATACCCTATTTTTGACTTTTAAATAAAACACTTTAACTGTTTAAAACGCGCAATATGTCAGTTAACTTATTAACTATTTATTTTCAAAACATGGGGCTGTAGTTAAAATAAATTATTACAATACTTGTTAACTTAAGTTAAACGTTAAAATTGTTTTATTTAAATTCTTTAACAGGCAAGTCCGAATTCGATCATGTATTCCCAGTAAATTGCTCTTATATTAATTATTAGTCATAACTTAGTGCATACGAGTATCTCTCGTTCGTAATTCACTCAAGTTTCACTTGATAAAGTTCGAGTTGGGCATCGTATCTTCTAACTTAGACAATAAATCACTTCCATTAAATAACGTCTCTACTTTCGTTTAATTATGGAACGATACCATTGCTCTTATGATTATAAGAATCTACATACATTGTTGTATGATAGTTTTAATAATAAAAAAAAATTATAGCCAGAGTTTAAAGGATTTCAGTCTTCTTCGGAAATTCGTTGTTTTGACCGAATTAACGAAACGAGAGCGTTAGATACATAACCGTCTTGTATCGTCGCGTTCAAAAACATACATAACATACAGATTACAGATCAATATAGTAGAGAAAATGAAAATTGGTGGACTCATCTCTAGTTAAGTTAGATGAATATTATGAAAGCGTAATACGTCCATTGTTTACATAAAAACCTATGAAATACTATTTCTCGAAAATACATTTATAGCTAATAATTTTTTATCTTTCACAATTACAACATGATATATCAACTTACTAAAGTTGGTTAAGTCGTTTACGCATGACAGAGTATCAAACATACATTTGTATGTTCGACAGTTTGCCGAATATAATTTTATACTATATATATAACAGATAAAAAAGCCGCGAAGCTTAATCGCGTTTTAGTTTCAGCCGAATTTCCAAAGCCAAAATGATGCTATAGGCTGGAGATGCTAAAACATCAAGTTAAGTCATGCTTGTCTATCAATAAAAAAAAATAGATCAGGCATCCAACAACGTGACCGCCCTACCTTTCCATTTGGCAATTGTTCGCTATAAATAGATCACGATGTCGCATAACGTCGGTACATTCACATCAATGCACAATAAACTTGACCATTTTGTAATTAAAAAGAATAAAACTGGTTCCATTAGTAACATATTGTAATAGACCGCAGATGTATGTCAGTGACATAACTTGATAAGTTGATACTTAAGACCTAATGTAATTTAAAAAGAATTTTCGCTAAAGTTAAACGATAAACTGGGGATTTGGAGAGGTAGAGTTTAAGTATACTAATTAATTTTAAGAAATTTAAAACTTAAATTTTATTTTCACTGCCGTCTTATAATAAATATATATATTACTTGGTGAATTTTAGTCAAAGTACACTTCCATATATATATATATTTATATTATCAAGCAGTAGAGTTTGTTTGTTTGAACGCGCTAATCTCAATATTAGCTAGATCGAATTGAAAAATTCCTTACGTGTTGGTTAGAACAATTTATCGAGAAACATTTTATTTAGACTATACAACACCACGCTGAAACCAATAGGAGCGAGGACACAGATGATATTAAAAAAAAATCTTCTTGAATGATATAAATAATATCCACGACGTATATGTCTATATTTTAAAATAAACTCGAGAATTATTTATATCGTAATCAATATTGGCTGTAAATAATGCATTATTACCGTTTATTTGTTAGAGTTGTATCAATATAATAATAGTTACATTGCAAACAACAGAACAACGTTTGCCGGAACAGTTAGTAACGTATACATTAAATTTAATTTGTTATCTAATTATAACTACGATCTAAAAAATCTTTAACAGCAGACAAGTAAAATCAGGTTTTACCTGTGTTTTATAAATAAAACTATAGACGTAAAAATAAACCAATAACGATTTTTGGTAAGTAAAAACCATTAATTATTTTAGTAAAATAATTTATAATTCTAAAAAGGATTCTATAATTTCTTTATCAAGAGTCAAGCTCGGAGTTAGTTGCGCGTCGAGTGTGTCGGCTTGTGGCATACATTTTTCCACACTTAAAACAATGATTAAAATTAAATCCTCATCTATTACTAGTGAAAATGATAATGATTCAAGTACAATTAGTTGTTTGATGAATTGGTGAGGTTTTCAGTGCGGTTTGTTGACTGGGCAGGTTATATAGCGGCGCGAGATCTGCGCGGGCGCTTAATTGCAGGCTGCGCGGGTAACGCGGATGACGGTCGACACGCGTCGCGTACAACGATCGCTAAGATCGATCTCAAACTGTGAACAGTGGAATAGTGAAGCTTTTTGTGTTCCCTCGTGAATTATTTTGACAAAATGTTGACAGGCTGGCAGTTGTTGTTGTCCAAACGTAAGTTTCTTAAAACATTTTATTTAATGAACGTATGATTATTATAATTTTGTGTCTTTTATCATATTCGACGTAAATTACATTTAAACATCTCCATCTATAATATATCTGGAATATATGCTAAAATCCAACGCAAAGAGGAAAGTCCTTTCGATCGTTTTAAATAATCATTATAAGAAAATAACCAAATATTTTCAACTCTTCACTCACTTAAAAGAAACAATTTTATAATATAATAAATATGGTACTTTAGTTGAAGGAAATTTATTATAATGTATTCATTTATGTATCTTAAGTGAATATATTTTACGCTTATCTAAAGAATGTTAGTAAAAGATTAAATTATTTACACTTAAATCTGAAAAAAAAAACATAGTAAAAATAATTTACTTATTTCTTTTTAACTAAAATTATCTATAAATACTGTTTGATGTGAACTATACAAAGTATTACACAACCAGCAAAAACTATAAGGATATTATCAACTATATAATTATTGTACTTTGCATAATATCAGTAATGTATTTAAGATCTAGTTAAAAATATAGTAAAATTACACTTTCGATTTAAATAGATTAATAATAAAAAAAAATACGAAACACTACTTAATTATTACGAAATAGTAACTAAGAAGTTCATATTTTCGTAGAAACTTTAAAAAATGACTAGAGTACTTATCGCTTTTCTAAAGATGAAAAAGGGAATCAAACACTTTGAACGGTTTAAAAGGCGAACTATATAACTTTTTGAGGCGAAATTGTTAGCTTAAGATATTCATTACTAGCAGTAAATAAATTATTAGGTGCGTTTAAAGTATTTTGTTTAAAACTTATCACTTATGTAAACTAAAGATGAAACATTATATTTTTTTAACTTAGTATTGTAATTGTGAGAATAAATTATTACGTATCCCCTCGGTGCTTATTCATAAAGTTTATTAATAAAAAGTCTACAACGAGGACTTTATGAGCGTCACACACAATGACAATATAATCGTTCAATTTCTTGATCACCCTGTATTTTATTTATGATAATTGTATATGAGATGCATTTTCCATAAGTAGGTATGTGTGTCGTAGCCTTCACTTATGCTGGTCGGTGTATGGAATTCAACTTATATAATATTAATGCAATAAAGTGAATTTTTAACGTTTTTTTCTGTTGAACTAAATTGGCTGTAATTGCCGCTTAGTGTGGCAATGAGATTTTTTTTCTGTCATAGAAATGGACATATAACATCTCAACAAAATGTGCTAACGACCTATTTTGTAAGAAAAAAGCCAATATAAATACTGTCTGTAGTTTACGCGAGTTGTACACATTTAAATAAAACACTGTAACGGTTTAAAACGCAATAAATGTGAGTTAAAGTTTTTTTTAATTATTTTAACTGCGCCCCGACGTTTCGGATGTCTTGCAGCTAATTCTCCCAGTTAAAATAATTTGCAAATAACGTTACACGATATAGATAATTAAACTTATTTTAAAAATCGACTCTGGCAGGACTTGAACCGGCATCGTCAGCGTTCCGTGCTGTTGCTCTACCAATTAAACTACCGAGTCGGTAGCTCAATTGGTCCTCAATTGGCCCGAGTCGTAAAAGTTTTTCCATTTTTTTTCAAATAAGTTTAATTAATATATATCGAGTTTTAAACGGTTAAAGTTCTCTGTTTAAAAGGCAATTTAGTTCGACAGTGTTCAGATGTTATATGTCAGACTTCACCTCTGTCAATCCATCAAGAGAACCTCCTGGTCGTCTGTTCTCCTCTGTTATAAAAATATACAGATAGTTCTACAAAACAAAACGATTAGTTAGGAATGTACCGAAGAATTCCCTTCATTATACTCTGCGCTTACGATTTCCGCACGTGAACAAGTCTGCGATTTAACCTTATCGACATTTAAGTTAATTAAATTGCTGTTACTTGTTACCGCAGAGATAAATTATTTGTTGTAATTAGGTTTCACTTCATAGAGTCGTTAATATTATGCAAACTTTACGCCACAAGCGATTACAATTAACATTTTTACCCGACTACGGTGCAGGTAAAAGAATTTGGTTTGATTTTACTATTATATATGAATGTCTAACGCTTAAACTACTGAATCGATTTGATGGAACAAATTGTTAGACATTTCGTAAAACGGGGGTCGGGGGGCAATTGATTATGTATATATCGTAAAGCCTTGCCTGTAATTTTGCAGCCTTGCGGCCTTGACCACGGCTACTATAAACCATCCAAAACGAGGAGACTCAGTTAACTAATAGTTTTCGCGTTTTAAACCGTTAACAATGTTTTATTTATTATACAAGAGGCCACTAGTGTTACCTGTTCTATAAGAATAAGACAATTGTCTTGTACCCGATGCGAACTATGGACTTCTCTCGACGCAACCCAGGTCAACGCGTTAGCAATGTAAATATTATTCCGTATAAAAATATAATACAGTCTCAACAGTGCATTGCATAACTAACGAGGTTAACTGTGTATTTTGAACAAAACCGTTCTTGGTATCGATTTTGCAATTAATTTTATTTACAAGAACCTACTCACCTACTTGGTAGAATTCGGTTAGCCATATATTTACTTTTTAACATATGTATAGATAACGAGATTTTGACACAGACAGTTCATTCACCTCCTTAAAGCGAGAAAACGAGACACGTATAGAAAAACATATATTTAATCCATACTGGTTAATAACTCTTGTTAATGAGACATATTTTGCTATATATTATGTCAAATTTGTTAATAAATAATCGTTATATATGTCTAATTAATATCTATATTATTTCAATACAAATATTAATAAATAGAAAAGTTTAGAATTAGGTAAATACTAAATATGTCAAATCGAAAAAATATATTCTCTCTCTAACTCACACTTTAGTGTTACCATGGCAATAAACTATAAGATGTGAAACAGATACAAAAATGTATCCATCCATGCCCTTCATTGGAAATATGACCTGACGCTAAAGAACTCCTACTTGTTTATATAACTACGAGAAACTCAATTGTATCGATCGTTTAAAATCTGTTTCACTGAAACCAATGAAGCATGACAACATCTTAACTATTAATTAGTAAAGAATTAACTTAAATCGGAAAACGTGAAACTATTGATCGACCGTGAAATAGTAATCTGTGGAGTTTCTAAGGCAGATTAAAAATAGAATAGATTTTTGTGATTCAGTAAATATATAATTATTATTTATACTCTATGGATTTCTAGCAGAGTTTGAGCGCCAAAATATTGTTGACTTATCCACAGAATACAGATACATTAACAGATCTGAGAATGTAACGAAGGTACCTAAATGTTTAATACTAGAGCCTATTATTTATTTATTTTTAAAAGTAAGAAATGTTTAAAACAAATTATTAGTCCACAGTGCGAGCTAGTTTAGTAAAAATATATTTTTTAGTATTATCTGGAAGTTTACTTCATATCGATAACGATTTAAAATAAAAGTTGACATAAAGGTTGTACATTCCAAGTGTAAAGACCCAAAAAAATATTGATACAAACCATAGTTTCATTTTTATACATTGAAATAGTGTTTTATTATTATCATTGTTATATTGAAGTGTTTAATACGCGAAGAATTAATACAATCTCTAGCCTTAGTGCATATTTCATGATGAATTTCCCATTCCACTTTCAAGCAATCTTCATCTTCATAAGAGGAAAATCTATCATTTGCACCAACTAACTTGTCGCGGAACGACATCGGCATATTGTAAACCAAGATTTACAGCATCTTGGTGAAAGGCACCTTCTATCCAGTTAAACAAGTGCAACCTGCAATTACACAGGCAGAATTCCTCAAACAAAACCAGTGAACGCTTTGTTCAATAATTTAATGGACGTTTAATATAGGTAGTACCTATGTACGTAAATGAAAGGGAGTTAATCTAATACATCAATGGTTGCGCTTGCGCCGACTTGCAAGATACATATGACTTTATGACGTTTGTTCTACGTTTTAAGGAATGTAGGAAATTCTTTAATATGTGAACTTAGAACAAATCATACGTCATACTACCCGCGTTTTACGTATGTTATGTGATAAGCCTAATAACTAGTAATATAGGCGAAATACAATTACGTCCAGAGAATTTATCGTGAGCCCATTTTATATTTTAATAGTGACTATAATAGATGAGATATACTATATATACTGAGACATAGCTCAAGAGAGACTTTTTAACCGAATTCAAAAAGAACGCTCTCAATTCGATTGGTATATCTAAATGATTTTTGTTATACTCGTTGGCACATAACTAAGTATTTTATGAACCGATCGTAATTATTGTTTCTTTGTTTGAAACTAGATATTTCAATGGTGATCTCATTTGCTTTTAAAACATTTATTTGGCCCCGACTGCATAAATATTATTTTGCGAAGTAAGTTTGATATTAGTGTACTGTTTGAAATCTATATATATATTATATTATTGAGTTTTTGGTATAAAAACGTTCAAACAAACGAACATTTCCATCTGCATAATATAATGATTTACATGCCCCACACGTCGCCGCTGTAATAAATGGTTAAAAAGTAGTAAGTCATCAATTTCTTCCTGGAAACATCAGTGATTATGGCATAAAATTGCAACGAAATTGCCAACGCCAGCCAGTCTGCCGGAACTGGTTCGATCGCCGTCGGATCGTACGACAGCGGAATGCAAGAGCGGTTCAATAGAAATCTCTTGGGCCACGACAAAAACTCCTAAGAAGTTTCTCAATTCCATTCCGATTTAGGTAACTCACTCAGCGTCGATGCAAAAACTCAAGACAAATTGAAGATTTGTTTCGGCCCGGATTCCATCCGTTCATTAAGGGCAGACATATATTTGTGACCGTTTCATTGATATTCACTAGTGATTTGTGACCTCTAAGATTCTAACAAACCTTTCGCTATCGCGAGTTTTATATGAAGTTGGGAACGGGAATTTTAACGGACAATATACAAACTTATTATTCAAGAGAGTAACGAAAGCGGAAATATAAAGTCCATTTTCGTACGGTACACAAAAGTGGCTATTGTTCTCAATTATACAGACCATACTGAGCTGTATAATTTACGCTTAAAATCTATACAACATCACTATACTATGATGCATTCACCAAGAGAAATAGTATGTCTGTACATTTAGAAAAAATATCAGAAATAAAATTTGGTGATTTTAATAAAGGGTCAGTAAAGGCTTTGGATTACGTTAAGCATATGCAGACTAGGTTTCGGATCCCGGGGTATCATAAAAATTTAAATTAAATATATATATTTAACAGACATGTGTTAATGTGTTTATTTAAGAAGTAAGTAGGACACTCTAAGATGGGATTCAGGTGACGGGGGGGGATGGCTAAAATGCTAATTATATAACATATTAATATAGGCTGGTGACTTGTATTACAGGGTATTATACCTATAACAGGCACCAGGCTCTCACAACGTGATACATGTAAAATTAAAGTTACTTCTAAGTTCATTGTAACATTGTAGTAAGTTGTTAGTGCTAAATAAATTAATGAATTAATATAAATAAAATGTACTATCAATATTAGCTTTTGATATTTCGACTATTCGTATATTGCGATATATAGCTCAATTTGTGTTTGCTTGTTCCAATATTACGCCAAATCACTTTTAATAGTGGTAAACTCCCAGAGCGTTCATATTGATCATAAACAAACTCAGTTTTTTAAATTTATCTTTCCTTTACTCCTTTTCTTTAGTCCTTGATTTTTGTTTTTCCTTTACATTTGGTTGCCTAGAAGAGATCGGTGTTTAGTGATAAGCGTCGCCGATTCTTTATAAGCTAGTTAATAAGTTTTTCGACGCAATCACTCAAACGCAAAAGTTGAAGGAAAGTTCTGTTTGAAGCAACTACGAATCTTGTCGAATATACATTAAATTTATGCTTATCTCGTAAAGAAAGTGTTTAACGATTTACGTTAGCACGAATTTGTAATTAGTGTGTCAACAGAAACACCACATTAACGTTAATTACAAGAGAAGTTAAGCACGTGTTAATTTTACTTCAACATACAATTACCAAATAAGTCCGTTTGAAAATATTTCCAAGATATCTGGGTCATACATATGATCACCCGTATAAGTTCGTACGAACTATGCAATTAAACGCTTAGAGTAAAATGTTAATTAAGTTATAGTATGTTTGCGTCTACCCGCGTGTTGTAGCCAAAATAGGTCGATAGGACATCTTGTTTAAATAAAACACTTTAACGGTTTAAAACGCGATATATTAGTTAAACTTATTTGAAAATGATTTTTAACTTCGGCTTGACGTTTCGGATGTTTTGCAGCAGCCTTGGTCCCGGGGAGTGTCTGTCGCGTTTTTACTTTTATTTTTTTTAAATATGTACTACTCGCGTAAACTATAGACAGTACATCTTGTTCAGATCAAGTCACCCCACCCCATGCTTCTCTATTCTTCTTTGACATTAAAAAAAATATATTTTTGTTTAAATGTGGCTAACGTCAAAACATCTGTAATACTAAGAATTTAAAGTCCAGCCGTAGAGCTAACAAACTAGATTTATACTAAAAGTAATTACGAATAAATTTGAGTCTGACTTTCAACACTAGTTTTGTTAAATTTCTTTAAGTTCTAATACAATTTTTAAAGAATGCATATTTTAGTAACTTTCATGAATAAATGGCAGAAATACTGCCACAGTTAGACACTGCACAGCGTGCTTATGGGTTTGAGTCCGGCCTGTATCATCGATTGTGGTGGGGTAATATTTTATACATATACATGTAGAGTACCTTTTCAAATATTTTTCGCGTTTTAACCGGTTAAAAGTATTTGATTTAAGGCGTTATGTGTACTAACGATAGATCTTTGCTACGTATTTACGTACGTATGATGTACGTATGTCTTTGTAGATCGTGCCCGTCAGACGTTCCACTCTTGCATAATGTCATCAAATAGGACAGTACGGATACGGATCACCGTTCACGTTATGCTTCGCTGAACAGTTAGGTATGTCATGGTATGTCGCTATGATACATTAAAGCATGTGTACTATTGTACAATTATATGTTGTCGTGCGTTTGATCCCAACTAGGTCGAAAATGATTCTTAGCATTTTATTATTTCCTTAGAAAATGTCGTCTAGAAGTCTAGATATAAAATGAGTAGTAGTCGAAATTCCATCTGGGTCACGAATCGTCCACAGATGATAAAGCTGTCAAGTTTATTATTATTTTACACTTTAACGGTTTAAACGCGATTATTATTAACTTATTTCAAATGATTTTTAACGGATTCGAACCCAGGTTTTCTGTCTCCCCCCCGCCACCCGGCTTTGCCAAAGCATCCGAAACGTCGGGCCGAAGCCTCTCTAGCTTAGCGCATCGCTAACTTAAGTAAGCCTAAGGTACCGTCAAGTAGGTTAGATAATATTTCTAGTCTACAAACATAGTATTTATTCGGTTTATTTGTATAGTCCATTGTTTTCGAGACAAAATATGACATGTTTGAATACAAAATTGCATTGTTCTTAGGCCAAAGGTCATTTTCTAAGTGTGTCTATGTGTAATAGTAAGCGCAGCAGGAATTCTTAACGTTTCATTAATTATTCATCATGGATCTGGAATTTGTTCAGAATAATTAAACTTTGAGGCAAACTTGAGGTAATTGAGAATTAAAGTGACACAAATTTCTTATTACAATATTCTAGTAGGGCTCGGTAGCTCAATTGATAAAGCCAGACAGAGCACGGAACGCTGACGATGCCGGTTCAAGTCCTGTACGAGTAGATTTTTTTTTTCAATTTATTTTCGTTTTTAAAATTATATAGTGCCTTCATCTTCAATAACATGTAAAAAAATAATAAAGTTTTCGAATATTCAAATAGTTAAAATGTGGTTATCGAAATGTGTTTTACGATAGCTTAGATTCAATAAATGAAAAGTAAGACCTAATCTTGCGTTGTCGACCTACTTTAGACATACAGAAATCCACAGACTGAATCCAAAACAATTTACAATTCACGACTTCTCAATTGATATTGAGATTATATTTCGATCGAAGCCAATTTTTAATATTTTTAGAATTATGAATCCGTGTTCACGCGAGTTGTACACATGTAACACTATGGTTTAAACGCGAATTATTAGTTAAACTTATTTGAAAATTATTTTAACTACAACCCAGCGTTATGAATGTATTGCAACACTCGTGAGACCCGTGCCCACGGTTACCCAGGACTTGCTGGTTCAGCAACATCTAGATCAACGAAACGAGTCCTTTGAACTGTATTTTTTACTAATTTAGAAGTCTGATGAACTTGGATATTATTTAAATTTTTATTTAAGTTAAACTATATTCAATTCATAAATATAAGGTAAACTAATACGAGGGGCTATAGAAACCGATGTCTTTAATTAAAATGGCGCGCAAACATTTAAGATAAGAATTGTAAAATATTTCATGGATCAGATTGCCGTGCGTTGCGTACAAATGTGGGAAAGACAAAAGCCTACGGTTATTGTGAAAATGGTCACGAATTTATCGGATTTTAATGCAACATTAAAGAAGGAAGTCCGACGAAATCGATGCTCGACTTGAATAAAATCTTTGAGGAAAACAGTTTGACTCAATTTGTTATAGATTATTGATCAGCATTCAATTGTACTAATGTTCTAGGCGTTTCTACACTTGCGATTTAATTTTAATTTGTGTACCTTTTGTATCGGTGAGAATTAATTACATTTTGTAGTTCCGAAGAGAAAAGTATCTTTATAATATTCTTCTGAAATTTGTTACGTTAGGCTACCTTATTATTATTGAGCACGTCTAAAAAGCAAAACAACATCATAAATTGTAACTAAATTTTTGCGACAATTGTGCATATAACTCTTATTGACTCGATTAAACTGATTTAATACAAAATATCTAAAACAAAGTATGAGAAAGAGATAACGGAATGTCCGCGTACAAGAGTTTGTACATCTGTGTCTCTCCGTCATGGACGTCTTAGAAATTTGAAAAATATTACAGTTTTCAAAGAGTCCTTTTTTCATGTGGCGTACGGATTCCTCAAAAACCTAAGTCCTTATTAAATTCCCTCATACAGCATTTACAAGTATCAAAAAAGTTATTAATAATTTATTTTACAGTCTTCGTGATACCACAGCGATGGGTGATGGCAATAATGGGTTTTCTGGCTGTAGCCAACGCGTACACAATGCGGGTATGCCTAAACATCGCGATCACGCAAATGGTGAGACGACATGCGCCTACGCCGGCTTATGAAGACGGATCGTGTCCCGCTGATGTGGAGGAAGTGCTAGCCGAAGCTACAGTAAGTATTAGAATTATGTATATCTACGCGAGTACTTTACGTACGATTTAAATAAAACTTAACGGTTAAAGACGGTTTAAAACGCTAGCGCAATAATATAAATGTATATTTAAGTTTATTGGAATCATTTTAAGTCTTTGTTAAGATTTTTAAGCAGATTTTTAGAAACATTTTTTTTCCTTCGTTTAACAAAATTTTATTAAATAATGAGCTACACTATGTCTGACATATATTATGTAACTGATAACTAGACGTAGTAAATCGATCTAAAAATATTTTTTTTAAATTTCGTTTAAACTCAAACTCAAACCATTTATTTCACAAGACAGTATAAATAACTTAAATAACTAATATTAATAAAATAATGAGAAAGAAGAAAAACAAACAAAAAATTGAAACTTGGACGAGTGCTTGTGAAATGGGGAAAAGCACTCGGCATGTGCTTCACCACTCAGAGTAGAGAGGCGCCGGTTTTCAGTGCCCCCCGGGGAGAGAAGGTGACAACAACTACCAAACTTTTAGTGAACTAAACTAAACTATAAATGTAAATAAACTTAGAATAATGTATGATATATAGTGGAATTTGTGATGTATACTTTACAAAACAAATCTAAACTCTTGTTTAAAAAGATTTATTAAAACATATATCGTTTTGCGTACATGCTATTAGGAGTATGACTCTACTAATAAAAACTTTTTATATATAGTAGAAAACTAAAAAATATAATAGAAATAGTACGCTTCTGCAGCTAAATGCTTAACATGTTGACTGGCGTTGCGTTAAGCGCCAGTGGTCCTTGGTTCGAATCCAGGGAAACAATTTGGCTTTGTTAAGATAGGGCACAGAAGTCTGATCAACTACTTGCCTGTATGATAAACGTTGATTGACACAGAAATGTATTCGGTTTAAATAATAAGGGTAATATTAAAATAGTTGCAAATAAAAATGAATATTTAATCGACGTTTCGCGAGTTAGTTGAAAGTTACCTCAAATCGACCCTGACCGACAAAGCTTCGGCTGTGACTAATACCCCGAATGAATAAAGAAGCGAAATTAAACACGATCCCCAATTACTAAACGGTACAATGCAATACTTGTGTTGTTGCTGGCTAAAAAATACACAGTTCCAATCTTGAATAGTTGGAAAGTAACTTTGATTTGGTTTTTAAATATTTGCAAAGGCAAGATTCTTTCGAGTGTTCTTATACTTTTAGAAAAAATAGAAGGACTAATATATAATGCTAAAGAGTTTGTTTGTTTGAACGCGCTATTCTCAAGAACTACTGGTTCGAATATATTTTTTTTGTGTTTGGTAGAGCATTTATCGAGAAAGGCAAAATCACAATCAAATTTATAAAACATCACGCTGTGACTAATAGGCGTACACTGCGAAATCGGTTCAAAATACCCATATGAATATGTATGAAAGAATAATTTCTTTTCAAATGATCTACAAAAAATACTATACCTATACTACACGTAACATCCTGACGGAGGTACTTTATATACTTGGGACAAATATCGAGACTTCTTCATATAAGTTTCACTAAAGTCTTAGAGTAAAGTGAACTATTTGACAGAGAAAGGGAAGCTAGACAGACCGGCAGCGTAACGCGTTACGTCACAAACATTCCATGAGTATGTATCATTAAAGTAAACGTACTTGGAAGACAAATGAACAAGAGTTTTATGTCGCAGAATGAACTCTATGAATAGCTGTTTTAAATGTTTAATAGCAAAATGCTACAAAACGACACTACAGACCATATTAGCTCTAATATGTACTGTAGTAGGTCATTAGATTCTGCAGATTTTTTTTAAATCTCAACCTTTTTTTTTAAATAGAGGAATAATCAAATACGGTATTTTTTTAACATGTTATTGCACATGATGGCATTGTATAAATTAAAAATCGATTATAATCGATTTTAATTTATAAAAATACTCGGCAAACGTTTCAGACTCTTTCGAAGTCTTCTTTCCAAAAGAGTAGGTACCTAAATACTTAAAACCAAGGTGTTGCACATTTACGGAACATGCACTTATCTGTTATCTAACATTGGTTCTCAATTACAGGAAGTAAGCGGCTTTAATTGGGATGAAGAAACTCAAGGTATAATTCTAAGTGCGTTCTACTACGGCTACATTGTAACGCATTTACCTGGTGGAATGTTAGCGGAGAGATTCGGAGGAAAGTATTCGTTGGGCTTCGGAGTCCTCAGCACCGCTGTGTTTACTTTATTGACGCCATGGACTGTCAAAGTTGGTGGAGCGACTGGCCTCATCATTTTACGAGTTCTAGAAGGATTGGGAGAGGTAAACTTTGAATGATATTTCCCCCTACACACTATGTCTTCCAATTAAAGATGTAAATCCATAAAACATAGAGAAACTGCGTTTATTCGCTATATTTATAGGAACGGCCACTATCGATATAGTTTTGGGTGGGAAACAGAAATCTGATCAATACCTCGGTCCAGAGAGGAAAACTATAAATTAGTGTGGGGCTCTAAAGGGTCTGGAGACCCTAAGGGTCTGGATATAAGCTATAATAATTAATCGCTATTATTTCCAGCCTAGTGTGACAAGAGCCTAATGTAATTGTTGTCTATAAGGTGTAATTGAGATAATATCACACCTATACGAAAGAAATACGATCTTGTCTGCTTTTGCGTGTAAACAGCTGACAAGATATTTATTTACCAAAATAAATAACAACAGCTGTAATATTTATATAAAACACTTTAACGGTTTAAAACGCGATATACATTAGTTAATCATATTAGAAAATTAATTTAACTTCTTCCCGACGTTTCGGATGCTTGGCGTAACTAATATGTATCGGGTTTTAAACCTTTAAAGAGTTTTATTTAAATGTGTACTACTCGCGTAAACTACAAACACTTTTTAACAGCTAATATACATATATAAATTGTGCGAATATAGTTTAAAATCCGCGCTGTTTACGAATTAAAAATATATACGATTTGTTTTATAAAAATTATTTTGAATCAGTTAATTAGTAGTGCGAAACATACAATAATATTCGAACCGAATAATTGTATATTGCATCAGTTTAATAAATCGTATTCAAGGTAAACAAAATTGGAATGTCTATAAAATGTGAACTTGTTGGTACTTTCTAAATTAGCCACTTTTCGTTTTATAAAAGTAGGTATAGTGGGATATAGACCTAGCTATATCTTTAGTTTATTATCAGACAGATTGGTGTAATGGTGTAAATGTATGGTGTAATCAACGGCTCATGGTTCGATCCCCACCAGATCCAATGGGTTTCTAATCAGTCTATGAATCTCCTTGAAGCCTTCGAGTTTGAAAAAGCCGCAAGTCTTAATTTAATGCGCTAAGAATTCGTATTCCGTCTGTGGAATTACGAATAACCGTCTAAAGCTAAAAAGTCGCCAAGTTTAGTTGCTTGATATATGGCAGGTTTGTATTTTCGAATATTCAGAGTGCCCCACGCTTGACTGCGCTTCTTGTGTTTTAGAATATCATACTATCATCAGAATATCACCTAACAATAGCTATCTTGCTTCTATCATAAAAGATCAATGATATGTACTATATTAATTAAATAAACGCATTATTTCAGGGTACTACATTCCCCGCTTTAAACGCCATGCTGGCAAGGTGGGCTCCGGTATCAGAAAGAGGAAGAATGGGTTCTCTGGTTTTCGGTGGTGCACAAATTGGAAACATAGCGGGGACATACTTCTCCGGTCTAGTCATTAAGGAAACCGGAGATTGGCAATCCGTTTTTTACTTATTCGGCAGTATCGGAATTTTATGGTTTATTTTGTGGGTAAGTTTTTAATTCTTCTTAATTCGTTATCTTACAACTATTCCCTATTTTATAATAAAATATGTTTAGAGATTAATGGATTTGGCGAGAATATTAGCAAGTAAAGAGGAAAATCCGTTTTTGATACCACAATGATGCCAGTTCAAGGCCCGTCCATGTCGTAAATCCAAAATCGATGTTTAATTTATGCCATCGAGTGCAAAATATTAAAGTTTTCAAAAGCGACGTCCCATAAACCCTTTTGAGTTAATATTTTTTGTTAAAATGAGAGATAATTAGGATTATAGTATACGAATCTCTTTAGTGGTTGGTTCATAAAAAGATAACCCAAAAAGATATGTTTTTTAAAAGTCTTAGAATATTATAATTACTCTTTAACAATTTTTATACATATTTAGATAGCTTATTGTATTTCGTGCCTTGACGAAACTGTGAAACTACGAAACCTTTGCCATTAATCTGTGTGTGAAATCAAAAATTGCACAGTGCAAGGGTACCAACTAAACGCTAATTAGATTATAGATAACAGGTGTTGTAATGCATATGCATCTTGCTACAGGCGCTGCTTTGTTACAACGACCCTGAGTCGCATCCATACATTTCGGACAAGGAGAAGAAGTACTTAGAGGAAGCTCTCGGAAGACATCACAACAGTCAGCCCTCAGCTATTCCTTGGAAGGCGATTTTCACTTCAGTTCCGTTATGGGCCCTCGTTTGTGCACAGGTAATTTTTTAACTTCAATTTACATTTAGTATTTCCATTTTCCCCATTTTCTTCACTCCCATTGGACGCAGTATGATGTTTTCGGCGTAAAACCTTCCTCGCCAAATGATCCAACCAGCGTATAAGTTATTATTCATTTAAAACCAGCAGTTTCCGAGATTAGCGCGTTCAAACAAACAAACTCTTCAGCATTATAACATAAGTATACTATATAACTTTTGAAACTAAATAAAAGATCGCTTTATAAAGGAACCATCACAGTCCACAGATGGCTTTTCTAGCAGTGACATCCGTGTTTTGGTTTCAGTCTATAGATTTCCGAATTTCCTAAGCCAAAACATTTAGCTCCATTTACTTCTATGTTATAGGCCTGGGCTATTTCAGCGTTTCAGTGAACCCCGTGTTTGCATTCATCTTCAGAAAATTAACAATGTACTACAGAATAACTCGATATTTCATTCAACGCGTACTTCCTCGTTGAACCGTGAACGCTGTCAATAAAGACCTGCATTGTGTACCTTCAGGCTATTTATATTCATTTCCTTGAATTACTTCGTACAATTATATATTTTGTCCGAATAGACAACTACATAATACAAATATTTTGTTTAATTTTTATTTTATTTTACTTTTATCTACACTATGTATACAGTTTTAAATAATTATTATAATATAGTCGATGTTCAATTGTAAAAAAATACATTAAAAAATTAACAACACATCTTAAATAATCTGCAATCTTGTACGTAAATGATCTTTAATTCAGATCACTTCTTTGAGCATAACTTTGACTACGGCAAGCTGAAAAGCTGGTAGTTAGTTTTTATACATTTGCTTCTTTTTTAAAATTATTTTATTGTTTTAGATCGGCCACGACTACGGGTACTTCACAATGGTGACAGATCTCCCCAAGTACATGACTGGAGTACTGAAGTTTGATATACACAGAACTGGTACTCTGGCTGCCTTGCCGTATCTCGTTATGTGGTTCAGTTCAATAATATTCGGATGGATGTGTGATAAGATGGTGAAGAAGCAGTGGCTTACAGTGACAAATGCGAGGAAGACATTTACAACTATCGGTAAGCATGTTCACAGAATTGATACTAGTGCTACTAAGTTTCCCGTCAACGGCCTCTGTAAGTAAATGGTTAAACTTGTTACCTAGCGTTGCGTTAACCGCAAGAGGTCTTGGGTTCGGATTATGGGGAAAAAATTGATTGTTTCCGTCGGACAGGGCACAGATCTATCAATTACTTGTAAAAGAATCATTGAGTGATAAAGACACAGAAATCGCCGGGCGAGAATGTAAAAACAGAATGACGTGAAGACAGAATCCGCCGGGAGAGAAATCCCATTTCTTCCCCTGGGAAGATTTCTCTCTGCTAATACAATATAATTTAATAAATTTTAACGGTTTAAAACGCCAAAAATAACGGCTCTTGGAAGTATCGGAAGCGTTGTGTTGTGTTAACAAATGCATTTTCTTAACTTAAAAAAATACTTGAAATAACGTATAAAAATTTCCTAATGTTCTAAAAGACTTTTTCTTTGAAATTTTTTTACCGAAACGTAAGTGTCGTAACGTAAAAATATTTTATATGTAAAATAAAAATCCAAACAAAGAATAAGTAAATAGTTATATTATTTACCAAGCTTTTTGCATGTATATTTATTCTCGGAAATCCTTTTATTTAACTTGAACACGGATATGTCTTGTTATTGAGACAATCAGATTCTAACATTTCTGACGTAATCTTTAAACCGATGTAGGTAAATATCACTTAAAATTGCTAAGTGCTTCGACAATAAATACATTAAAAAAACACTTTTAACGGTTTAAAAGCGAAAAATATTACCTAATTTACTTACCTGTTGTATATAATTATATTATTTTTTAATTGATATTATGTATAGGTTTCAATTTTTAATTAAATTGATAAACTTTATCGAAGAATTGATTGTATAATATTTAAGTATAATTACAAAATCTATAATATGGACCTGCAATTTCTTTTCGGACCAAATATGAAGTAAAATTATTTTACTTAGTTATATGGACGTTCGTGACGTACCGAATAATATTCCAGTTTGTTTTATTATTATACTGAACGACATTTAACGTATAGGTTTAACGTTAGGCAAAATATTTCGTTTAGAATCGTGCGCGTGCGAAAACACAAAACACACAAAAAATACGTATGGAAAAGTGATTCATCTTTAAATGATCTAAAAACATGTCCACGATAGTATTGGTCTATCTTTTAAGATTAACTTGCTAGGACAACGGCACGCGACCGACATCGTGGGTAAATTGTGGTAATTTTGAGCCGAAAAAACTTACACACACAGCTAGTTAAACAAACTGATTACCTTTCTAGCATCTGTGGGACCCGGTATTTGTATGATCCTGGCTTCATACTCGGGCTGCGATACAGAAACAGTCGTGATCCTGTTCACCGCTTCAATGGGCCTGATGGGAGCCTTCTATCCAGGAATGAAAGTGAACGCGTTGGACTTGAGCAGTAATTTCGCCGGCACCATCATGGCTATCGTGAACGGCATCGGCGCTGTTACGGGAATCATTGCCCCGTTTTTGGTTGGCTTGCTGACACCCGATGTAAGTATATGTCTCTCTGGTAGTTTGTCCGGGGCCCCAAAAAAAATTACAACCCACTCTTGGGAGTAGTGATGGCTTATAACAAAATAGGTTTAGATCTATCGAGGGGTTTTGGGGTTTTTTTTTTTTCTTATAAAAAAAAAAAACCCCCCCCCCCCAAAAAAAACCCCCCTTCTAAAAAAAAAAAACAAAAAAAAAAAAAAAAAAAAACTTTTTTTTTTTTGGGGGGGTTTAAAAAAAGCGAAGAAAAATAATTTCAAATTTCGAACTTGCTTCAATGACGCCATGGTAGAGTAGTATATTTAGCAGCAGGGGTAGACAAAAAATTTCACACAATTAATCTACCAACTATTAAAGCTTGCATGGTGCAACAGATATACAGATCTCATAATTTAGTCAATTAACAAACATATCTTTATTTCCAGAGCACGCTGGTCCAATGGCGTTTGGTCTTTTGGATAACGTTAGCTGTATTCATACTCACGAATTTAGTGTATGTGGCGTGGGCGTCTGGTGAAGAGCAGTGGTGGAACAGTTCACCGCAAGAAGCAAGGAAACAAGCCGAGACCTCTTCAGCAACAGTTAACAATGACATTAAATTGCAAGCGTAGTGACAAATAGAAAGGAGGGTTTAAATGGACAAGTGTTTAGTGCAAGACTTAATCGGAATAGATTAACTTAGATTTTTGCTCCTGGTACTAATTACAAGTACAAAATAAGTACTGTCTGTAGTTTACACAAGTAGTTACACATTTAAATAAAACTCTTTTAACGGTTTAAACGCGGAATGTATTAACTTATTTGCAATTTTTTTTAACTACCGTCCGACGTTTCCGATGCTTTGCAGCCGTGTTCACGGGCGATGGCGAGCGGAGATTTGTGTTTAAAACCGTTAAAAGGGGTTTATTTAAATGTACAAAATAAAGTATTCAAATTGGCGATTCTTTGAATCCACAGCCAGTGTAATGTGATAGTAAAATATTTATTCATAAGAATTCATTAGATGTACTTAGGAAGCATTTCACAATACGACTGTAATTTAATTTTCGAACCATTTTTTATTTGAGAAAATCAATAATCGGCGATAAATATTGAATATTAACTATGTATTTTAGCCACAAATACGTAAGCTGACTAGTATTCCTGTCTTTATCGCACATTGTTACTTACCATATTTATGAAGAGGACAAAACATATAACATATTATGTTATCATTGAGTGTGAACCTTATAATTATGAGGCTATTGAATACTCAGGTGTCTAGAAATCTAGAAGTATTGTTGTCCCTTTCTAAGTGATGTTATATAACTGAGATAGCAATAGTTTTGTCGAATAACGTACAAAAATGTTGTTAACGCCTGTTAAAGCCATATTATTGTGGTTTTTGTATAAACTAGACTTTAGATTAATGAGATTGAATGAGTTTGTAAATATTTATGAGTGGTTTTTTTGTGCAGCTTTCATATTGGTTTTAACTAAATTGTGTGGGTTTTGATCTGGGATCAGCGTTGCCAGACTATTTTTGTCAAGTGATTCGGAACAAGTAGTCAATAGAGTGTGGCTCTTTCGTTGATAGTACAAAATACTATCATAAGATTTATTCTTCAATCAATCGATAAAACAGTCGCCTTACAAAAGCCGAAAAGAGGGACTGAGCTTGTCTGGGGGACATTTAATTATCTTTCAAATTTGAACTATCTAAAGAGTCAGGCAACACTGCCTGGGACCCAATTCTGCTATTGATAATGACTTACTATGCTATGACACCTCGATTTTTATCAATACGATTGACGTTAAAGAACATTATTTATAGCACTGGTATATCTAGTGAATTAGCAGAAATGGATCCCTCATGGATAAAACTCTAGTTGTATAAGCAATGCAAAAACTGTGTCTTGTTAAATATTTTGTTCAAACATCAAAAAAATAAGATAAGGCTGTGAACAAAATTTATTTAGTATTACACAAACTATTTTACTGAGTGCATTTGTGCCATTGAAAGATCTGTGTCTATTAGTGATAACTGTTGTAATGTATTTTAACTATTAGCTATAATTATGATTACATACATTTATATAGTAATAAGAATGTTTTAAATAAACGTTTTAAACATACACAATTTTATTGAACAACAACTATCAGTGTATAAAAAAGATCTATAAAAAATAAAAATAACAACACACAAATAACATTAAGATAATTTAAATGCTGAAACAGAATATTTTATTTAGAAAAAACTATGCTTAATTATAACTTAGCAAACATTTTTCTGTGTCTCCTTGTCAAAACTACATAAAATCAAAATATCAAATACTGTCTATAGTTTACGCGAGTAGTAGACATTGAAATAAAACACTTAAACGGTTTAAAACGCCATATATTAGTTCAACTTATTTGAAAATGATTTTTAACTTCTTAAAAACCATTTTCAAATAAGTTTAACTAATATATCGCGTTTTAAACCGTTAAAGTGTTTTATTTAAATCAAAATATCAATTCATATGATTCTTCACATAAGAAATACCAATTGCTACATCAAAAGCTTTCTAATTACTTTGTTAATACATATGTAAACATTCATAACACCGACTAAAATATTTCTCATTATTATTAGTATGAATAAAATTCTAGTAATAATTCTTAATATGGAATTAAAATTCCAGGAGGAGACTTGTATCTTAAGTGGCACACAAACTTTCCATTACAAAGTGAAAATCTCGTTAGTAGAGGATATTTATGTAAATATTTTCCTTAGTAAGGTAACAGTATAGTGAGAACGTCAATAAATAATACAAAAGACTAGATATTACACTGTAATAAAAAATCGCAGCAAAAATCTAAAAATGCTTGATTATAAATTATTATATAATGAAAATAACCCGAATTTAACGGAGTACAAGAAAGAGGAACATTAATAAAATTGTATTTTAAGCAGTCAAAACTGAACTGAATTGAATAATTAATGTTAATAAAAAAAAAAAAAAAAGTACTTGAATGTTAAATGCTCTGTATAAAACAAGTGGAAAAATTATGAAATAAAGTTGCTTTTCTATCACTTAAAACCGTTTTTTAAATACTACTAATAAATAATAAATATACGCCGTTGTACCAGTAATTTACGAATCAATATGAACAATTTAAAATGCGAACTAAGTAAAAAAAACAATGAGAATTAATCAGGTAATAAGTTGAATTTGAACCGGTTAAACTGTTATATTTAACACTAATAAATTTAAAATATACGCCTGCAGAAAATTTAACTTTTTGCGATACTGCAAATAGCCAGGAAAATAGTATTAGGCCCAACACGTTCAAAACTTAGTGCCATTAATTTAGATACCTCCCCCTTCAAAATTTCAGAATAATTCCATGACAGATGTCGGTGATGAAGCGTCAGCCAAGTCCGTGCGCTGGTTCAGTATCTGTAGAGCTTCAACTGGTGTTATGGTTACCACCCCCAAGGTCGCGAGTGCAGCAAGGGTCTCCGGGTCATTCTTGTTCAATCCAGTTCGTATTCGGCGAGCGTCATCATAATCCAAGTTTAGGAGCGTGCAGGATTCCGTTAGCCTGTTGAATATAAAGAAATGTTAAAAAGAGAAGTTTAAATAAATTCGAATATATATTACTACTGTGTCCTGCTGTGCCGAATAGTGCCTTGGGGTAGAATTTTCAAATAGTCTAGGCTGTTTTTTTAATATTTTTTTTTTGTGGGTAATAACCCCCCCCCCTTTTGGTTTTTTTTTTTCTTTTTCCCCCGGGGGGGGCCCCCCCCCCCCCCCAACCCCCCCCCCCTTCCCCCCCCCCCCCCCCCCCCCCCCCCCAGGCCCTTTTTTTTTTTCAAAAACTACGAATTTTAATAAAAAATTTTTACTCTATCACCCCTTTCTCGGGCTCTAAAAATAGTCTGTGTACCAAATTTCATATAAATCAGTTCAGTAAGTAAGTTTCGGAGTTAAAGCCGGACAGACAGACAGAGTTATTTTCGCATTTATAATATTAGTATATTACTATACTATAGACTATAGTAAAGAACCATAGATTTTTGTTTAGACAGTATGCAAAGGGTTAAAGTATGGATAAATTTGTATACGTTATGGTACAGTTTACGGTATTATATAATATGTAATCAAACTCATGATTGCAAATACCTTATAATAAGTGGGAGAAACCGTTGCATTTTATTGAGTAAGTGTCCTTCAAAGTCTATGGAATGGTATCAAACCAACATAATATAATGATAACATTCTATGGTGTGTTTTATGAATTATAAAGCAATAATCAAAAAATACTACAATGACTAATATTTTACCTGGGCACGGGATTCGTTTCAGGCATTTTATTTTCAAAACGAGCAAACGCGGGTAGAATATTTCTTGTCACATCATGCGTGAATTGCAATGTCCCTCCTGTGTTGAACCAATTGTTTAAAACCACTTCCTGTGAATTATAGAACATTGTTAATACCTCTCCAAGGGAAAATAAGTATCCGGCTTAAAGGACCAAAAAATATACTGGCGCCTTTTTTATAAATCAGATGAAATATGTATTTATAAACACGCTTACTTTAGCATTAACACCAGCTAGAACTTACACGGAAAATACAACTATCGACTTGCAATGCCAGTTCCGCTTTTAGAAGTTGCGCTATTGCTGGAGCCAAACTCTCAGACAGAGTAACGAGACGCGTACACATAGAAGACAGTGGCCGTCCCAGCGTACTTGACATGCACAATGCCCTTTCCTCTACCAGCAGCATCGCGTGCCATCTAAATAAAAAATCATTTATGTATTGTTAATGACCTGTGATGAATTTACTTAAAGTAAATTACTAAGTAACTTAGTTGTAGTAAGTAAATATTGCAATTTTATTTGGTTTTCTACTTTAAAGATTTTTTATTTATTTTCAAACCTTTCTTTGTAAACAAAGTATAAATATAATTATTATTAGTCGAAATATCACTTACTTCTGAGACTTGTACTCGTGTAAATGGTCCCTGAACTCTAACAGCAAAAACTGTACGAGCACAGCGAGTCCTGCTTGTCTCAAGTGATGCAACAGCGCAGGCGCATCGCCGAAGACGCCGCCGTCTTCGTCTCCACCTCCTTCTGGCAAGGGGTCGGCTACAGCTGGGTTTGCTATGACGGTTGTCATCGTCTATTAAATTTTTTGTCTATTAATTTATGAAGCAACATTTTCTTAAATAAGGTTTCAAATAGAAGTGCGATACACAATATGCCGAAGCTAAGTCTTCCTTTTAACAAAAATGTGTTAATGACTTTAATGAAATTAATCCAAGTTTTAAAAGTAATATAATTATAGTTATTTATTTTGAACTTATACCTCATACTGACTAGCGTCTATTATAATGGAATTTCTTTTCGTCACTTCTTTCAAGGCCAAGCTCTTTGCTCTTGCTTCAACTTCCTCTAAACAGAGTGAACTTTCCGCGTCATTTTCATTTTCTGGAACATTTTAAATTTTAAATTGACATGCTGTATAAAAAATACAAACAAATTTACTTTCCTGGTGGAAAAATATCTTGTATGATTTTTTTTTCTAATAATGACGCTTGTTTCTTTTAACCATATGTCAATATTACATTTACCTTCTTTGTAAAATTCTTCGTCAGTTTCCTCTTCTTCTTCAGAACTTGTCGACGATTCGCTTTCAATTTCACCACTGGCATGTTGCTGTTGCGTGAACTGTTGGAATTGGCGCCGGTAATAGTACAGTTGCAGGTAATGCTGTAAACGAAAATACACCTAAACAAAAGTGTAAATAGTGAACAATGGATAAATCTAAATACTGTCTGTAGTTTACACGAGTAGTGCAGTAGCGTTTCGGATGCTTTGCAGGGGTCTCCCCGTGACCACGACTGCTGCAAAGCATCCGAAACCTCGGGCCGTAGTTAAAAATATTTTCAAATATGTTTAAATATTATATATCGCGTTGAAAACAGATAAAGTTTTATTTAAAAGATGGGAAATCTACTTTTTTTTAAATTAGTACAGTATAGCCTATTTGACTGAATAGCGATGAAGTAACTATGTGAATGATATTCAGTAATGATACAGCTAACTAGATTAGAATTTATTTAGCTTATAAGCTTGATAGAAAAAACTTACGAGTGAATGAGCCCACTGCAATAGAACACTTCTTGTGTGCTGTGCAGTATTAATAATGGCTGTTAAGGGATGAGGACCAGCGACTAAAAAGCAATCTGGCGTTAAACTATCTGCTGTAGCACTCATAATTTGTGTAAGACGTATGCGCCACTCTTCAATCAATTCAAGTTGCAGTTCTAAAAACTGAATCCTAAAAGTATTGAAAAAAACTATAGTAGATAATATTATCATTATCATGAGAAAATTTCAATATTTGGTGCGCAACACAAAATTTTAATTACAGAGTATGGTCAGTATCAATGTATATTTTTTTTTAATGTTAATTTATTACTAGATACAAATTAATGATAAAAATTATATGCATAGTTGTACACACCAACAATAGCAATTGACGAGCTCGTTGGTATAATTGTATAGATAATAATCAAGAGGCCATGGGTTCGATGCCCACTGGATCTGACATTTTTTTTAATCAATTTATAATTTTACTGATGCTTGTTGAATTTCATCTGAAAAACTGGTTATTTAATGGGTGGTAGGAATATCGAAATTCTGCCTGGATCACCGAACCGCCGTCCACAGATCGAAAGGCCCTCAATTTTAATCGCATTTCGGTTTTATTCTGTGGATTTTCGAATACATGAAGCCAAGAACGGATCGACAGAGCATTTTGTTTTGTGTGGATGGGTTTTTCACCTACCATCAAGTGAACCCTGTGCTCCTGACCTGCTCCACAAAAAAAGCCCACAAACATGTAGAGAAGTGAATTGTTTGAAGTGTAGTTGCCTCGACTTTTTCTCACGAATGTCAATACAATTGAAATCACTCACCGATGGCCAGGTTGTGGTAAAGTGACGTATCGGTCTTCAATGGTCTTTAACAGAGAGATGAACCAGTCTGAACCCCTGGGAACCCATAAAAGAGAGCCGATGGCTGCTCCTACTCCCGCTACCACTGGCTCTATCCATTGTTCAGTGTCTAGCATTTCATCCATTTTTGATAAAGCGTCTGGAATAAGAAATTAAAATAATTGTTTTTCACATTAAAATGAAAAATATTAAAAATCAACATTGTTCTTAATAATCAGAAAAATGTTATTACTACTAAAAGCGAATTTCAATGATATAAAGTGCACAATATAAATAACTTATAAAATATGTATTATATACATACATTTCTTTTCAACAGCCAACCACTGAACAAACGTTTCCGCCTTCGTCAATACAGAGAGAACACTATTTGATTCATATCCAGTGATCTCGCTTAGTTCTTTATGAAAGCCTAATGTTTCGTCGACTGCATGCGCAAACGCCGCTTCCACATCTATTATATCGCCTTTAGAGCCTTGTGTGTGATATAAACCTAAAACAGTGTGCAGTCTTTCTGCTGCTAGCGCAACTAAGCCTTCAGTGAATTCATCCTACAATAAAGAGGCTTGTTTAAACAAATAATGTAAGAAAATAAATAAGCCACTTTGAATTATTAAAGTTAAGCAATTATTTTAGTATTTTGTCATATCCTTTTGTATCCTAAAAAAAACTCTTTTGCAAAATAAATAGTCCCCTTTCATGTCTGCATGTAAAATAAGTCTGCATCTATATAAAATGATAAGCTTTTTTTTTTGTGAATAAGCTATAATGATGATGTCTTAGTCTTAAAAACTAAATAAAAGTAATTTTTCACAATGGTATCAAAATGGCACAAAAAATCTTTAACTTACAACAGTATTAATATTCCTCAGTTCAAGTTTATCAGCAATTGGCTGTATGTTATTTTTGATGAATGTTTGATGATCCTTTATCCAAGTTAATGTCTGAGTTAAGAACCACTCTGGCCTATCTATCCTTGCTGTTTGACGGTTTCCAGTAAAGTGGAAAGTGAAACGCTTTTTTAGAGGCTTCAGTAGTACTTTAATTGGAAGACAGGGCTCATGTACTGTAAACATAAAAACATTTCATATATTCAGTATTTTAAATATTTTAAAGCTAGCATAGTTATTTTGGGCAACCAAATTTGTTTTTGCAACACTCCTCTTCACCTTTATAAACTTAAGCTGATATCTACGACGTCGGTCGCAACCTGTAGTTCTTGCAGATTAATCTTAAAAGATAGACATATTCAAAGACAATGTTTTTTTAGATACCTGAAAGAGGAATCGTTCTTTCACAATATTTTTGGATTGAACACACAGCATATGCATTGGAAACCCACAAAGATGAATATTTTTTTTTACATTTTACTTGGTTTCCTCGCTTCTAGCCTATAGCCTCCCTCGAAAAATGGTCTAACTGGTAAGACATATTTTTTCAATTCAAACCTCAATCAAAAAAACTCCTCAGCTTTATATATTAGTATAGATGTAAGGAACAAAAAAGCAGTATTGATGTTATAAAGGCTATGAAGGTAGTCCAATGACATTGAATAAATTTTGTACCATCAGAATAGTCCCCTGTTACTGCAGCATTGGCCAATATTTCCTCTGGCTCTTGAATTAGGAATAGATTCTTTGTCAGATTGTTGAATTTGTTCATGACATCTTTTGCAATTGGTGAGTTTTCAGCACCTGATGTGAATGGCCACTTTAATAACTTTAGCACTTCTTCATAATGCCTAAAATTATTATATTCAAGCAGATTATAAAATTTAATACCCCTTCAAAGCTTGAAAGTTTCATTGCTACATTTATTTTTATTGTAAACTTACTTAATTAAATTTTCTTTCAGTATATTGTGCCAATAGTGTGTGTAGTCCTTTGCATATGTAGCTTGATGTGAATTTTTATATTGAAGACACATTTTTTTCATTTCACTATACATAAGTACCAGTTGCTCATCATCCTTACAGTTTTTCATCTGTTGACTGAAGATAATAATAATAAAAGAAATACACAAGCAAAAGGTATAGTTAATAATATCAAAGACTCTCGAGCTATTTGTACCTTAAATCCTGTATTTTGGCATATGATTTAAAATACTCCAACACTTTCTCCAATTTATCTATAGCTGTAAATCTTTTATCCAATTCACTAAGCAACGGTTGGGTTCGGCTGAGAAAGTCATTGGCTCTCTTTTTAAAATCTTCACTTTTGGTTTTCAGGTTTTCAATTTGCTGAGAGTTGAGTTCTGCTTTTGTGATGGCTGCAGAAAGCTTTGTAGGTACTTCATCATTAGCAGCATTGAGCTAAAATTATAAATATATGTTTAGATATTTAAAAATATGTTAAATATTATCGAAGAAATCTACTTACTGATCTTTCAAGACGATCCCTTTGGCTAGCTAATTCATTTTCTAAATCGTGAGCAGCTTCTAGATTGTTTATATCTCCTCCGAGTCTCAAATTCAAGTCTTGTAATATATCTTTTTTAACCTCATCTCTTAGATTTGATTTCATTTTTCATTTAGCCTTCGGCAATCTACTTTAAAGTTTTGTCAACTTACTATAATATGAATAAAAACATTGACCTTTATATGTGCTGTTGCTTTGATGTCATCAATTTTTGACGGTTGAAATTACTTTAAGCTGTCAGTCATCTCTCAAGTGTCAATAGTATTTGACAGATTACTGATGTTTTACATTTTGTTTACTTCTAGTTATACATTTTAATGATTTTATACTTGCATTTTGTTGCATTTTGAACAGCAGTGAGTTAGTAACTTTGAATTACATATTTTCATGTATAATAAAATTTTACTATCAATTTTCTCGTCAAAACAAACCTTTAAGATCTCGTAAAAATGTTGTGGTCATTAATTCAAAAGAATAAAAATGATATCATATATTTATCGTTGTTACTTTTCGGTGTTTTTATTGGACCGTATTATAGAAAAATACAGGCAGTGGAAGCTAAGAAATGGGGAGGTACAACTATAGGCTTAACTCTCATATTAGTTGTATCAGGATACAGCGCTGTTCATCCTATTTTGTCCGCTTCTTTAGGTATACTCGCTATAAAAGCGTCTACGTTAAAGTAAGTCATTGTATTTAATTAATAAGCTATTTAGAATACAATCATGAATATTCAATCTTAAGTGTTACAATAAATATCCTAAATTTTTTTTTAATAATAATTGATTTAACTTTTTGTTTCAGATATTGCCACATAGTAACATTCTTCTTTATGTTTGGCTATTTATTCTTCTTTCGATTAGCTGACAAATTTGGTTTCTCATTATCATCGGGACACACGAATCTCATTGAAATGATTATTGTTCTGAGAGTAGTGGGTGTTGCATTTGAGATGAACGGATCCTGGTTAGCCATGGCAAAAGCTAAGAGAAAGACTGATGACGTAGTAGAACCTGTTAACAAAGACGAAAGGGATGATGAATTTCTAGAGCTAATTAATCCAGGGACTCTTGATCTATTTCATTATACCTTCTCTTATATTGGATTGTTAACAGGTATGTACTAATCAAATTGTGTATGAAATTAAGTACTAATTATTTGTTTTACTTCATTTATCGATGAACATATTTGTCTTTTAGGGCCATACTACAGGTATCGAACTTTTGATGATTATTTTCACTTGCCATTTAGTAAACATGTGGATTGCTTTAGCTTTACAATACATACGCTTAAAATGGTGCCATTCTATGTTGCATTATACTTGGCTTTGTCTAATGTCCAGCCATTGGAGGTAAGCTACTAATATTTTGTTTTAAATATTTAAAAAGTGCTAAACAATATAGAATATATATTTAAATTCCAATTGTTGTCTATGAAATAGCACTTTTTTTGTTTATATTTGTCTGGTAATTCATAATGTTAAGACCACCATTGCAACTATATATATTGTGCTTGTTTATGTATTTTTATTATATTTACAGTACCTCTTGACAGAGCACCATAGAAATAGAAGCTTCTTATTAAAAATTATATATCCATGGATTTTGTTTACGGCATTCCGTCTCCGAATTTATGCAGGAATGTCATTAGCTGAGTGTGTATGTACTTCTGCTGGTCTTGGCGCATACCCTGTCCAGGCAAAGAATAGGACTGGACATGGACCCACCGTGGGATACTTGAAATTAAAACAAATGTAGGTTTTTTTGTAATTAATAACCCAGTATTATTCCTACAACCCAATTAATGTCCAGATTTTATTGAGTTTTCAGGTCTGATGACCAAGCTAGGACGTCACAGTATGATTTTAAGACAGTTGAGTCGATGGATGTGGTGGGTTGTGAGGCAGTTGTGACTCTAAGAGACTCCATGAAAGTTTGGAATAAAGCTGTTCAGTATTGGGTTGCAATGGTGGTTTACAAACGATTTCCAATAAAATCACTCAAGTAAGTTATTTGACATTATTGTATAAAAATATTTATGTATTGAGTTGATAAAGATTTATGATACTCATATTAAATGTTTATGATATTTCCATGCACAAACTACATTCAATTGATGATATGTATATTATGTATATAAATGATAAGAGAAGTCAATTGAGTTACATATTGTAAGTATTTAATTAAAGCCGGAAAACCAAACCAACCCAGGCAGAAACTAAGGCTATGCTTTTGGGTTTCTGACACTCCGGACAGGAATGTTTACTTATGCAACAGACCTATAGAAGAGCATAATAAAAGTCGTCATCGAAGTACTAAGTGTAAATGTGGTACTTCCGCTTATTTGCCCACCCGACGCCCCCTTACCAATTACCTGAAAATCGACGTTATTCATATCACTAATGAAACTATATTATAGTATAGGTTTTTATTAATTATATACTTAAAATATTAACAACATTTACAGAATTCATGCAGCGTTATTCGTGTCCGTCATCTGGCACGGCTTGCATGCTGGATATTTCTTCTGCATTTATTTCTGTCCATTTTATTTGATGGCTGAAGATATCTACTACAAGCTGTACTATAAAGACGCTACAGGAACGGTAAGTTGATCAATATCATAAATATATTGACTATATATGTATTACTTGCTTCTCTGATCAATACTCATATAGTGTGTCCGTAAACGGCCGAGATTAAATTAAAAATCAATTTAGCTTAACCTAACTTTTTGCTGCTGCTCTAATTAACTGAGCTACCATTGATCATCAAGGTTCAGAGCGAAATGTGTCATGAAATAGTTTTAGTTTAAATTGATTTTTTATTTATATAATGCAATAACATGTAATAAATATTTGTTAAAAAAAAAAAATTACAAAAAAAACACTTAACGGTTTAAGCTCGAAGATTCGTTAAACGAGTTTAAACCATGGAATCGATTTGTGATATATGATTTAAGTCGCATTTTTTGAATTTATTTTTTTTAATTCCAGAAAAAGAAGATAATCGGTTTTATTATGTGGTTCCTTCGGTCTAATTCAGAATCCTATCAAGCAGCGGCATTTCTCTTGCTTACGTTTGACCGAATATGGATTTACTATTCCTCAGTTTACTTTTACTGGTATGGCGTGTGGCTTGCTTTCTTAATAGTGGGCCTTATCTTGAACCATATAGACAAAGCCAATAAAAGGAAAAAAGTGGCGGTAGATACAAAAAATGTTGGCTTAGACAATTAAGCTACGCTCACATCTCATTCAAAGTTCTTTAAATAACTTTAGACCAAAGTTTATATGTAAATATGGGAATCTCACTTAAGTTATTGCATTTAAATAGTTTTGTAAAAGAATTGATAACTTTAATATATGGGCTCTGAAACATTCCTTTATATAAATGGGAGTCTATGAATCAGTTGAAAACAAACACTTAAAATCTAGTAAATTGTGTGGATATAACGATGTGTAAAATAAAGATTTAAAAAAATCTTGAGTGTCTTATTAAAGAGTTTTAAAGACATTTAATTATCAAAAAAGATATAGGACCACTTACTTGAGAGACTAAATTTGTATATTATTGATATTGTATTACCCAGCAGGTAGTTGGTTACTGCGATATTTACTTAGCACCGACGTCAAAGTTATAGCATATTTATTAAATCATTTCTATTTACGTTAATCAAAATACATGCATAACTTTGTGTATTTATACAAAATATTTCTATATACATTTACCCAAATGAGATGTTTAATACCGTACAGTCCCTAGAGCATCTCGTTACCCTGTTACCGGGTTTTGGCAATAAATAATAAATAAAACGAACTAGTAACATCAAATATTATAATTGACAAACAAACAAAAAATGAATAGAAATCATGATGTACAAAAATTATTACAAAAGCATCACTTACAGAATAAATATTTTGCGAACTATTATTAGAAAAATATTAGTATTATATCACATTCTTGAAGTATTCGAATATGAGGTATGTCATCACTGTCAAACTGAAAGAGAATGTTACAAGGATAAAGTAATCTCTTTATATCACAATTTATCATTCAATATGGTAACATTTGTGCAATAAGCAAGCTTGTTATGCTATAGAGGTCATTATTTGACAAGTATTGTATACAAAAATATCATTATCTACTTTAACATGGCAACTACATCTTCTACTATGCTCGTGTATTTACACTATGTTTACAACTAAAAAATGCTAATTTATAAAAATAAAGTCATACCAGTTGTGTCGAATTATTTCATGCACGTTGACAATATTAAAACCTGCAGCTTAAAATAAAGTTAGAATAGATTGTATTACTGGGATTATTATTTGAGTCCTGACCTGAGATTAACATAGAATTGTTAGAAATGTTAGGCAGTAAATGAAGCCTGCACGTATTGGCGCAATGTTAATCATGAGGAAAAAAAATTGTGCTAGTGTAAAAAATAGGAACAAGCTGAGTATATAATTAGGCATAAGAATACAGCGTTACACCGAGTGAAGCCACCACTAGGACTACAGTAGTTTCAACGTATTTACCCAATATTCCAGCCATACGACACTGGTTTGTTGGTCGTGGCTCCACTATGGCGCGCATAGTTCTGTCCATAATTCTTATTTTGGTTAGGCGCCTGGTAACCCGGGTTTCCTGATGGATAAGTTTGGGGATTAGAACTTCGCGAATTCGAGTTGTACGATGAATAATTCGGATTTTCCATTATCGGTCGCGTATTGAAGAGTCCGTTGAGGCCGCCGCTCTTGGACAAATTACCGAGGATGTTTCCGAAGATGTTTGACAGGCCCTGACCGCCCTGGCCCCCCTGCCCGTTCGTGTATGTATTCAAGGTGTTTAAAATGCTATCTAGGGGACTTTTGCCGCCGGATCCGAAACCTGAGCTGGGGTTGGAACCACCGTAGGGGGAGTTACCACCTCTGTTAGAACCTCCGTATGGGGAATTACCACCATATGACGAGCTACCTCCGTAAGGAGAGGTGGGACTGTTGCCACCGTAAGGTGAACTCCCTCCATACGGAGAACTACCGCCGTGTGCTGAGTTTCCGCCATAAGGCGAATTCCCTCCATATGGTGAACTTCCTCCATAAGGCGAATTGCCACCATATGAGGAACCTCCATGGGTATTCGACGGTGGTGCTGGAGCGGGATAATTTGGTGGTGAATCGAAATCTCTTGTTGGCGATTGGGGTGTCGGTCTTGGTACTGTTGGCTGAGCTGGTTCCGAATGAGAACCTGAAAGCAACAGTGTTCTAAATTAAAAGTAAAAAAGAAACACTACCATTCTTCTATTCGACAGTTTAGTATTACTAAGAAACTGCAATTGATAGGGCACCGACAGACAGGGATTAGACCAATGGAACAAAATTTGTGGGTTTGCTTAACCGTCTAATTTAATTAAATAAAAACATTTACTTTTAATATTAATGTGGGTAACATACCTGCGACTTGAGATTTTTTCTTGCAAGTAGGGTACGTTCCGCAGTTAGACGAGTGTCCAAACGAACACGGATCCTCAGCCAGCACACACACTTCGCTATTCAAACAGCCGATGTCCTTACACGTTCGACCGTATTCTGTAAAGGGAATAAAAATTAAACTACCCACCCATTGCGTAAACACTCACGCAGGTACAAGTATCATTCCCACCGCACGTATTATCACAGTCAATAGAGCTTCCTCCCGTTGAAAATACGTAAGAGAATTCGAGTCGACACGCTCAAATAAAAAATACATGGGCGCACATGAATATATTTTATTTGTGTTCTCGGAAAAATTTGCCCTTTTATAACCCGTAAGGCGTGACTGGGTAAAGAATTCGGTTGTAAAGGGAAAAAGGTCATTTGCATATACAAGATTATAATATACTTAGATTGGGTTCACCGTTGCGTCGCGTTCGAGAGTCAATATCGCACGTAATATACGCCAAGTGGAGTGGAAAAGTTTCTGCTGTGGAATTGTTTTCCACGTGTTCTCCATACGAATAGTTTTTACATTTCCTCTAGTAACTTTCGGATATCAGTTTCTTTTGATCAATGAGTATTATTCAAGAATTCCTTTTCCCTTTCTTTATTGTAATGCCATTTTACTATAACCTTTATACCAAAACTAGCTGTGTCAGCGACTTCGTCCGCGTTGGACAGTTATTTTGGGCATCCAAATTGGTTTTGCAAACCTCCTCTCATCATCTTTAGAAATATAAGCGACTACCCACGACGTCGATCGCGTCCTGTCGTTCTTGCGAGTTAATCTTAAAAGGGATCATTCTTTTATACATTTTATTTTAGTGTGTTTAACCGTTTTCGCAGCGTACGCATCAGAAACTCACGGAGATGAATGATTTCCACCGATTTTCCATATTTAGTCTGCCTTAGCTGTTTCTTCGCTCTTATTAGTCACAGCGTAACGTTTTATAGCCTTCCTCGATAAATGCTCTATTTAACCAACACAAAAGTAATTTTTCAATTTGAACCAGTAGTTCCTGAGCTTAGCGCGTTCACACAAACAAACTCTTAAGCTTTATATATTAGTATAGACTAAACGCGAATATATTTTGTAAGTATATCGTCATAAGAATGACGTCATTTGCGCTGCGTCATGGAAGTAGTCATTACTAAAGTCTTAATCAGCTTAGGCGAGAATTAAGATATCCAGTAAGAAATCCATCTCGAATTGAATAACTTTATGACAAAATATTCTCTCAGTAATAAAAGTAATTCCCATAAAGACATAAAAAGCAAACACTTACTACGAAAACGTTTTAAGCAGAGTGCAAGAATGAGGATCTGTAGGTATGGAATATAATTTCCGACTCGGCAAGTGCTTCTTTAGAGGCAATAAAAAGATACAAAGAGTATAAGGTCGAATCATAACTCATTGTTTTGTTATGCTTTCAAAACCTGGGTTTACGTGTTAAAAGCTAAGAACAAAGCTTAAATTCAAAATAGTCTATCACTTAGTACCTACACGATATAAGCACGAAGGTTAAAGACAAAGGTCACGAGAAACAGACGCTACTTGTACATATAAACATGGCCAATAACAGGAAATCGTAAATTCCTACCTATGAACAAAGAGTGCTATATAGAGCGAACAATAGTATTTTTTCACATAGTCTTACGTAAGGAGAATCTATACTAATATTATAAAGCTGAGGAGTTTATTTGTTTGAACACGCTAATCTCAGGAACTACTGGATTGAATTGAAAAATCTTTATGTGTTAAATAGACCATTTGTTGAGGATGGCTTTGGGCCTCTGGCTGCGATCAATAGGAGCGAACAAACAGGAGGAAAATGTGGAAAAAACGGTTTAAAAACCCAATAATCTGTAATTATAGCTGAGGAAGTTGTTTGCAAAAGTAAATAATATGGTTGCCAAAACAATTATTCCACACGGCCGAAGTCGCGAGCACAGCTAGCTTCGAAATTAAGAATCAAGTTTATATTGTATAGGAAAATTATATGTAAATCTATTACGTTGCGGAGTGGTCTAAGAGCCTAGTCTAGTATTTTTAACCTCAGTTTAAAGTCTTGACGCACTCAATGTAGACAATGCATGGCTAATAATCTACGAGTAATTCTATCGGTACCATCATATTTCTGAGAATCAATCGATACTTCGGTTTCAATCTTCAGATTTTCGATTGTCTAACTCAAATCAGGTCGCCCGTCTGTCTTTGTTAAGAATTACGATGTTGTATGGCCAGGGTATTTCACCTTTTATCACGTGAACTCATGCTTGTTTGTCCTTTCGTAATATAAAAAAAAACCTCCACGTCTTGAAATGAACAACATTTTTAAAATTCAAATAAAACACGGTTTAAAACGAGATTTATTAGTTAAACTTATTTGAAAGTTTAAGTTAAAAATACCTTCGGCCCGACGTTTCGGATGCTTTGCAGCTGCCGTGGTCACGGGGAAACGTCGGGCCGAAGTTAAAGATCATTTTCAAATAAGTTTAACTAATATATCGCGTTTTAAATCGTTAGACCGTGTTTAATTTAAATGTGTACTGCTCGCGTAAACTATAGACAGTATTTAATTAAGAACATTACTAATTTTAACTAGTACGTAATCAGAGGAGTGTAGCAAGGTGGACGGACCTACGGACAATAAAATACAAGGGCGAACTTTTTCAAAACTCCAACAATTTTCAATTAAGGATAGACACTTAAAATTTTTAACGTCCCTGCAAAGTAGCTTTGCAGTAATGCAACTTACTTGAGTAGCCATCAACGTGGTACAGTAACGCTAGCGTCATTAAAACCGTCCTCCAGTCCATAGTTAATCTGGAAAGAAATTGCTCGTTAAAACTACACACATTTTACTGTTGTTGAACACCGACCACATTTTGCTGACTTTACAAATTACAGTCGTGTATATATGTAAAAATATATAACGGCCTACATTAATGTAAAATGTTAAAGCCCTTATAATTTTTAAGAACGTAATTGTTCGCATTAGAATTTCAAGAGTTTGACTAAATTATAACTATTTTAATAATGTAATATTATGTTGTGTATGATGGCAAATAAATTATGTTTTCTTTCCTAATAAGTTGTTAGAGATGAAAATCATGACAAACACATTCATGCAATAATTGCCATAATGCAGCATATCATTGTTTTTCGTTTCGCCATCACGAGCGGACGGCATCGTCGGGAAAGCCTTACACTTTATTAATTGCCATAGGCCACATTCCTATGAAAATTGTGCAATAAACGAGTAATAATTAATTAAATAAGTACTGTCTGTAGTTTCTAGTAGAACACGAGTTTGTCATATTTAATACAACATGTTGACCGGTTTAAAAAAATCGACGACGAGGTGTAGGACTCGGTAGCTCAATTGGTAGAGCAACAGCACGGAACGCTGACGATGCCGGTTCCAATCCATCCAATTTATTTTCGATTTTTAAATTGCCTATCCTCAACTGTTTCCTTATAAATATGTATTGCTAACTTTAATTGCACACTATGTTAAACTTAAATTCTATTTAAAGATAATTCCACAATGTATTATATACGAGAAAGTAAAAGATAAGAACGTAGTTAGACAATGGATACTAAAAAGAAGAGAATATACTTAAAATGCGGAACGTCTTTAATAAACTCGGGAGTCCGCAAGTGTACATGTGGCTGTATAACTCGTCGACACATGTATTTCAACGCTGCACGTCACCTCGGCAGCTTCACAACTTTATGACACCCAGAAACATTCCCCGAGCAATTTCACCCGAAAGTGTACCATATATAAGCTAGTTACCAAGTGCAGCGGAGGTGAGCAAACGTTTGGGGATTATGGCAAAAGTTGTTACTCTTTATTGAAAACTATGATTGGACTTTGTTGAGTTGCAGACTTCCAGTAACTGAATTTTATTTTTGTTCCTAACACTTTGTTTGATATACCCGGATGGGTTTTATTTAGTTCTTGCTGAATCACGGTGAGAGCTCACAAAATGATTATTAAAGGGTTTGAAGGATGATTTACGGATAGGATCTTCAATACGACGATAGAAGTGGCAGTCCATAGATGAAAAAGCCGTCGTGTTTAATGGCGTTTCGGTTGTAGTCTGTGGATTCTCGAATATCCAAAGTCAAAACAGGTTAACAGCGCATCTAATGTAGACATTACTGCTGGGGTATTTCATCTCCCATCAAATAAACCCCCCCCCCCATACTTATCTATCTTCCAAAATTATATTGGTCCAAAAACATGAAATTGACCAGTCCTATATTCACTAAAACGTTATTTTGTGCTTTAAAGACAGAAACAATTTAGCTTACTAGAGGTTAACATCGTAAACAATTAAGCCGGAGTAAGATGTCGAAGGTAAAAGGTCAGACAAACCTTCGCCCCAATTTGTTAACATGTAGGAATATTTAATGACTAGGTATATCGCTTATCAATGCAAATACAACATATTATATCTGAACGTATTAGTAACGTTCAGATATAATATGTTATGATTTAAGAAACTTAAAAATAGCATATAAGTAGCATTTTATTAAACCATTTTGCGGAAAAGTCTTGGCAAGTTAACCCAGGAGACGCTGCGTTGTCATTTATATCGTGACATGGAGCAAGACAAATTATGGTTATTTTTCTGGTTGAAATGTTACAAATAGAAGCTATTTTAAAAAGAGTGCTTGAACCTTTGTAATTTTCCCGTCTAGTCTGGCCACTTATATAAGGTGCTTTGAAATTTCAATTACTGTGGTATGTTAGTATAAAATCTCTCTTGGGAAATTGCTGTTTAGTTGAAACAAAAAGTCGACGCGTAGGTTCCAAATATCATTATATCTCAACAATTATGGTATGGTTGTAGATGGACGAGGTCACTTGATTAGTTATCTTCGTTTATGACCTGAACTTATGAATAATCATGGTGCTTAAAGATACTGTATTGGATGTATCGATATTTCACTCTTCTATTAAATTAAAAGAACCGTACACATTTGGGCATTGGCAAGGAAATCGCGGAGCAAAGCCAGCACAAAACGTCACACCGATAACTGTTATATCCGGCCGTCCACTTGCGAATCGTATTTCGGAATCGTTTTTAACTTTTTATCTTTTTGCGCAATTCGGATACGGAACCCAGCCACTTCGCAGCTCATATATCACTCGTGTCCGTAGCGTTAACGGCCTGCCTGTCAACTCCGCGTATCACATGCCATACCTCTTGACGAACCTTTGTGTATTTTTCGACCGTTTACACGTCGTTTTATTTTACATTTGAATCATCCAATTTTATGGAGCAAAAGGCAGGTATGAGGTTACAAAATGCGGATTCGGGTTCCCTGATCCTCTATATTCGAATTCCAGACGTGATGCATTTCAGTATAGTACCTACTCTACGCGAATTCTCGTAAGAGCGCTACGTAAAGCAAAGGTGTCGTGTTACGAGGATTTATATCGACGGAAATCTTCAACGTTCACACTTCGTGCGCACAAAGCCGTAGTGGATAAAAATTGGATTCTGCTCTTGTCACAAAAATAACACTAACGCTTATTTAAGAATTATAACCAACGTAAAACAATGTATAAAAATATTACTAACTTAAAAAAAGCCGTATCCACTTCTACAATGGAAAACTTGCTAAAATTAAAGTAGCACTGTTCTTTTAAGTACGTCCGGTTCTGTTTTGAAATAAGATGTTTAGCAATTGTGATAAAATTGTAGATAAGACTGGGCATTTCATAAATGAGATCATTCGTCGAATACCGAATGCGTAGTAGCTATCTGTAGTTAATTACATGCTATTGTAAATATTTTACTATTATCGGATTTTAGTCTAAATATGTGGTAAACAATAATTTTCCAGGATACAAATAATTATTATTGGTTGATCGATCAATATTTACTGTTTTTTCAAGCATGTCCTTTAAATATGAAATAATATTACATTTCGATTATGAGAGCAATTAACGAAATATCTAAATTCTTTTTAAATTGTAGGTTGCTTTTAAATATATTAAGTATAAAAAATAATAACATACATTTAAAAATCGAAAATAAATTGAAAAAAAAATTCGACTAGGGCAGGACTTGAACCGGCATCGTCAGCGTTCCGTGCTATTGTTCTAACAATTGGGCTATCGAGTCCTACACCTCAATGTCGAATTTTTCGTTTAATTTTTTCAACTTATTGATACATGAACCTCTTGCTCAATTTTTAGAGCAAAAGTGCCGAACGAGCACTGACGATGCCGGTTCAAGTCCTGCCCGTGTCGAAATTTTTTTCAACTTATTTTCGATTTCTAAATTATATACTGCCTTCATGTGCAATAACATGTGAAAAACATTAAAGTTTTCAAATAACATACATTTTTTAAATAGACTACTATTAAATTAGGCAGTGGTTTGAAAGAGATAGCAATTTATCTATAAAGCTGCCGTTTGTCCCTAGCTTAATCAATTTTATTTTGTGTTATGTTCTGTTTCTTGTTTTGAGACAATAAACAATATTTGTATTGCATTGCATCGTAAATATCCCAATATATAGTGTGATGATTGCCATAATTTAGCACATTTTTTAAAACATGAACTGCGATAATAAACCAGTTATTAAAATAATGGTTACATCATGTAAACATCCTTGAGTACATAGCATGTATAGTAGGAAAAAACTAGATTACATAATAATAATAACATGTCAATTCTATACAGAATTACCTAGTACAAGTTATTTTATTTATACCTACATATACTTTCTTTAAATTAAAAGACTTTCTAATACAGTACCAAAAAATTATTTTGACCGATTATAGAAGCCAAACTCCATGTAAATAAGAATAATCATACACTTTAATTGTTAAATTTATACTAATAGAATTGTGTAAAATGTTATTTGTGAATTTATTAGTTTAGGCGATAAGAAGTAAGATAAAAAGATAAATCTTGCCAATTGTGCCAAATAATAGTGCAGAAAAAGAAATACTCACTTTAAATTTGAATGAGTAAATAATGTACCTCCTACATAAGCTACTATTGTATGTTATTTATAGCTTACAATTATGGTATAGATAACAGGATGGGTCAATTTAGAGATGAAATAAAATTGATCTAACCTTTACCCCAAAGGCTATTATTATACCTAAAATACATTACAATGAGAACATTTTAATGATAGTTTGACAAAATTTAAGTCACAAACAATTCTTATGCTATGAAAATTCTGTTATTGGTGTGTTATTTGGATTGTTTTGGTCACTGTTGATTTTTGTGTTTAAATATGCCACTATAGTATAATGTTCTTGTTTGATATGGTTAGTAGACTTAAGATACAACAAAATACATTTAACAGCAAATTTAAAAACTACATAGTTATGTGCAAATACTGTAATATGTGTAAATAGTCGCAAACACCAAATATTAGCAAAGATGGGGTATTATTTCAGACATTAATGGTGTTTTTACATACCTGTCTGCCCTCGCAGTTCACTCTTCCAACACTATATTATATTATACACAAATAATCGCCTTCTTGGTCGTTTCACAAGGTCAGCAATCGCGGACCAAATGATTCTATTTTATGTTGCGGGCATGCGGAATTATCCTCACAATACGTGAGAAACCTCAATATCAGGAAAACGCACATCTACCTAAAATTAAATAGTTTTTCATTTAACGTTGCTGCTAATGAACAAATAAAGATATTATAAAAAAAACATTACTCATAACAGGAAGATTTTAAAGGAAAACAAGAATACAAAACATGACCGTACTCAGAGAAACGTAAATAAATTTCTTTCCTGTGTCAACTGTCACTGCGGTCAGAAGTCAGTTATTAGGGTTAAAATGTCAAAATGGTGTGTTAATTGTCATTTGTCCATAGGCTATATTAATCATCAAGTATCTACAATTGCTACATTAACTAACATTATAATAATATATTGTGTATTTTCCCAATTTTTATTTGTGAGAACTGTATTGTTATATTATATATTATTACTGAATCAGATTCTTGGAAAAGAATTACATAGATACTATAAATGCTTTATAGTTTTTCTTTATTATTAATAATGATCCGGAACAAGTATTTTAAAATCGTAATTCGTAATACACGGTTTGGTCTATCTATCTACTTGCTTTTAAGTTATACTTGCAAATGTAGGGGAGATGCGTCTCTAAAAACTATTAACTATAACTTATAAATATTATTCACATTCAGTAGATAACTTAATGACTTTAAAGTACGAACAACTTATGCTTTCAATAAAACATTGTTTCCTTTCACGCGATAGCGGCAAAGAAAATATCATAAGTTTTGTTACGTTAGTCTTCCTTCCCCTCAGACTCCAGTTATCATAGTTGGTGCGAACGTGCCTTGAATATTGCTTAAGTTTCAGGCACCAAGTACGGAGCCTTGTGAGATTGCGAAATTAATATAATGTATGTAATATGTATGTTGTTCTAACTGTTTGCGGGTAATATTGCAGTGGAGTTTGCAAAATACTTATAACAGCTACTTATTCTTCTCTACCTACGGCCATTCATTAATCTTTGTCTTAATATACATATATAATAAAGTAGAATTATATCTATAAAAAACCATTGCGTTTGGCTGCCTTAAAAAATAAACTGATACCTATATATCGCGTTTTAAACCTGCAAAAGTGGTTTACGTAATGTTGAGTTAAATCAAATTAAATAACTAAAGCACGATTATATAGACCCATATTCATAATCTTTGATTTGTATATCTATACACAGAAACATACCTAATCATAAAACAATATATGTAGATATCACCCAGAAAACATTTAGTTACGCTGATATAATGTTGTTCAAAATGTAGAATCTTTCTGAATCGTGTAAAATAAGTAGGTTAATAAGACATTTAGCAACAGTAACTAAGTAAAATATTCATAACAGTCTAAAAAGTAAGTCAGAATTCTAATTTAAGCGACGGACTTCTATTTAATACAATAGACGACAAAGCCACTTTCATTTATAACGACCCACAGCTTTTGAAACTACTCGAAAATAGCAATTTGTACGCGGATAGAAAGAACTGGGGTTGTAATATAAATTCGCTTCAGATTTAAGGGGATGCGATAAAATCCCAACTGGCAAGCAACAAGAGAGGAAAGTTCACGGTGTGAAGCTTAATTCTCATGAGAAATTAACTGTTCCATTAGTTTTAATTCACTCGACTGGCGCGCTTCATTATTTCAGCTGTTTTTCGTATAAAAATACTCTAAACATTGCAACTGCGTCCAACTGAGAAATAAAATTGAGATATGGAGTGTAAACCGCAATTTTACGCCGAGATGAAGCCATAGTCTGTTTGTATCGTATTCACTGTACTGCGAGAATTTTAGTACATTTATTTGAATATTAGATTTCGCGTCGGGTTTTAGATTTTAGACAAGCGTATTTTTGTTTTACCGTTACGAACACAACTTAGCTAGCTATTGGGATGGAAATGGCATTTTATTTTTCACAGCCACAAACATTACTTATTTATTGATAAGTATTAGATACATAAAAGTAAGAGACATATTTAAATATTGGTTCTTGTTGACTGTGATTGAAATATAGCAAGCCGTCCCCCGTGACCACGGCTGCAAAGCATCCAAAACGTAAATAAACTGTACGTAAATTAACTAATATATATGGTATAATAAACCGCTAAAACTTTTTTATTTCAAGATGTACTTGCCACACTAACCTAATCTACGGAAAGTACCTACCTATACAGAAGCAAGTAAATTTAAATGTCAATCAAAAAATAACATCTTGGGAAGCTTGAAAATCGAGTAAATTTATTGCTAAACAAAACAAATTCATAGCGATGCGATAAAAGAAACGCTAAGAGTTGCCACGAAGTGCAAAAATCCAGCTATTTCTAAATAACATTATTAAATTGAAATAACACACTTTAACGGTTTAAAAGCGATATATTAGTTAAACTTGTGGCCGTGGTTTTCACAGTCTCCCCGGAGCACGGCTGCTGCAAAGCATCCGAAACGTCAGGCCGAAGTTAAAAGACATTTTCAAATAAGTTTAACTAAAATATATCGCGTTTAAAACCGTCAAACTGTTTTATTTAAAAGTGTACTACTCGCGTAAACTACAGACAACATTATTAAACTTGAAGCGTTTAATATATCTTTACTGCATTTCCCTGCGAAACACCGTACAAGTTCTTTCATTTCATTAGTCGTACTTGGGAGCAGGTCTCATTACTTGAGTAAGGGATGCCTAACAGCGTCTCGACCGGCCTTCGAGCAAGTTTACGAGGAGCAAGCAATATTGTGCGTACGACTTAATGAAAAGGAAACAGACGCAAAGTATACGCAACGAAAAACCCTGGCGTGGGTCAGTTTGTAAATGCGAGAGGAGTTCATATTGAACTAGCTGCTCCGGACGGTTGTTGTGTTGTCCGGAAGATTGATATTATGTTGATGCAATAAAAAAAAATACATTTCCATTTCAAATTTAATTACGGTAAAAACGGTTCCTGCAAGTTAGATAGAGATGTACTGTTGAGATTTTTTAGATCATTTAAAGAGGAATTATTCTTTCTTATATACTTAATGCTTTCTTTAACCGTTTTGGCAGCGCACGGAACGGAATTTACCCCGCTTTTTTTTTCAAAATTTTGCACTATTACTTTACACCTATTGATCGAATTGTGATGTTGTAGATCCTTGCTTGTTAAAGCCTTCTGCGAAAAATCGTCTAATTTTTTTCAAAGCAAAAAACCAGTAGTGCTGTACGCTAATTTTAGGTTAAAATAAACAAACAGACTATTCATTCATTATTTAGTATAGATTTTTACGGAAAATTTTAATATTTATGGAAAATATTGCATTAACAATTAAGCCTAGACTATTGCCTAGCCATTAAAATACTTTAATATGACAAAACCTTACATCAAATTAAAACTCTGTCACTTATATTTGCTTTAGCAGTATTATTCTTTAAGTAAACGTCGTTAGTACAAAATTTAAGATACGGGCAGAACATGAACTGCGCTACTCTTCTCCGTGACACGGTCACTGGGCACGGTAGCTCAATTTATTATAGACTGAGCTTAGAACGCTGAGGATGCCAGTTCAATTCCCGATGTCGTAATTTTTTTTAATTGTAATAGATTTTTAATTTATATAATGCCATTATGTGCACGTGAAAAATAAAGATTTGAAACATATACGAAAAATTGTACAACTCAACTTCCAAGCAACAATATTTAATTGAACTTATCTATAGGGATTTGAAATATTGAATGAATCAATAACACGGACGCGAGCTGAAAGTCGATTTAACTATCAATTTGTATCAATAGAATAATAGCGACACCGTGAAAAGCGTTTCGTGGCAAAGTAAACAGAAATCTCTCCGAGGCGAAATCGTTTTATAAAATAAAGTAAGTCCAATAATTCAACACTTCGTCGCTCCTTAGAGAGAGGGAGGTATAAAATGGAGAAAAACGTCTCTAATTCAGTTTGCTCCCGTTGAACGGTACTCTGAAGCCACTAGGTCTTTACGCTGAGAGGCAGGAAATAATATCTATCGGTGAACGGCTACCGGCCTTTGAATGCCAACTTTACTTAAGGAATGATTCAATAAAGGACCTTTCATTTATTCAAGGGTTGATAATGATACTTGTTAAAACAACATAATTTGTAACTAACTTTAACAACAATGCCTTTTAAATATTTAAAAACGCATTGTGTCTTTAAATAGATAGATATACTTATAATAAGTATTAGTATAGTGCTTGAAACTGGTATCAAGGAGGTTATAGTTTCGTTTGAAATCAAAAAAGTTTTTATTGTATTATTGTTCAACAACAATATCTCATTATTCCGCCGTTACAATAAAAAGTGAAGTGGGCAGTTTTTAAAAGGAAACGAGGAATTATACCATGATCGTGTATTTTGTTCGAAGGCTTTATTTCGTTTGAGTTATTTATATTTCTCGTTCCACGGCAATAAATTACAGCCTCAACCGGCAGCATACTGCAGTGAAATAATATAGTCAAGGATCCGAAATATTTACTTATTTGCGGAGTTAAGCGTTTGTGCCTGCGCCGAGACGACGTCTAAATCGACTCGCTTATTCGAACCTTCGCGAAGGTTGAATACAAGATGGATAGCGCGACATTATCTCCAGCGTTCTCGGGGCTAGTTAGCTTCTTGTTCGAAGTGGAAACTTGTCTACGTCCGCTCAGAAAGGAGTGGGTGGTACCGACGCTTTCATGCAACCGCCGAGCAAATTATAGCCACCTACTTCAGAGTTCAGATTGATTGTACTCAGCCCGGCCTGTAGAAATAGCGGGGTGCTGACGATTTTGAAACAAAGCGGCCGCCGTTTTAGTGTTCTATTTACTGTGCGAAGTTTTGAGAAGTTCGTAAGATATTCGATAATGGGGTTACGTCAAATTTTCTTAAACCAGTCGAAACGAACGTCGCCCTCGCTCCGGTTATACAAAACATTAAAAAGCTAAGACTCCATTACATTTAAATAAAACACTTTAACGATTTAAAACGCGATATATTAGTTAAACTTGTGGCCGTGGTCACGGGGAGACGGCTGCTGCAAAGCATTCGAAACGTCGGGCCGAAGTTAAAAACATTTTCAAATAAGTTTAACTAATATATCGCGTTTTAAACCGTTAATGTGTTTTATTTAAATGTGTACTACTCGCGTAAACTATAGACAGTATT